GAAGAGAAGAGAAGAGAAGAGAAGAGAAGAGAAGAGAAGAGAAGAGAGAGAAGAGAAGAGAAGAAAAGAAAAGAAAAGAAAAGAAAAGAAAAAAAGAAAAGAAAACCCAACTTGAAATGGCTTAAACAGCAAGCAAATTTTATTGATCACATAACAGGAAATCCCAATAAAGTACAGGGTAAATTTAGCAGTTATTAATCTACCAGTTCAATGACATCATCAAGAGACCAGGTTTTATTCTTTTTACCTTTCTGCTCTATCTTACTGAGTATATCAGCCTTGCCCTCATAATCGCAACCTGGTTGCAACAATACCGGATAGGCTATCCAGATGCCCACAGCCAAGAGAATATATTTGGTAGAAATTTCCTAAGGTATCTTCTCTCTTGTCTCATCGGCAAAACAAAACAAAACAAAAAAGAGCGAAGTCATACACTTACCAAATCAAGCACTAGTAAAGGAAATACAATTATTATGACTGCTTTACAGTAATAGCAATTTATTCTGGAGATGGAGTCTGGAGTGCCTTTTCTAAAACATGGGCAGCTGAATAAAACTGGTGTTCTGAAAGCAAGGAAGGCAACCAATAATGTTTATGCCAACACCAGTCAACTAGACTAATGGTTGCTGTGGGCAATGTGATTCCAGGGCTGCCAAATCATTTGATTACTTTTAAAAAGCTGGAACTCTGGATGTTTATGCAAGATCTCCCAATTTTTAAATATTGGCAATGCATTCAAAACATCTTAAAATACATTATGACCAAAATCATCCCATCCAAATAAAACAACTCTGTAGTCCAGATATGTCCTGCAAACTACCAGTTTAAAACCTCTGGTTTGTTATGAATTTATGTAACTAAAACTTTCTCCACTTAGAAAGCAAAGTTCACTTTAACCTTGCCAGTAACTGAATTATACAAATTTCTGGGAAAAAAAATTTAACTAATAAAGTTTTATTCACTTATAGTAAACTTCAAATGACATAGCTAATAAGGATTGCAATAAATGGTGTAGGAAAAAAGATGTTATATGAATCAGAGAATGTTTATATGATTTTGTTGTCAGCGTTCTAATTTGACAGGTTAATTGTCAAAACAATCAAGATGTTGCTAGTTATCTAATGATGAATATACAATGTTCTTCCATCCCTCTCAGTTTCCTGTAATTTACTCAGGGTTTTTATTTGTTTGCTGGCTTTAAGTAGAGGGTAAATTACTTCTTACTAAATGAGAAAATCAAGATACTCAAAATATTTGAGGAACTAGTAATCAATACAACAGTAAGAAGAGGGGGGTGTCTAGGAAAGTCATCTAATTAGACACGTCAGATTCATAGCTCTTTGTTTAGAATCATCTTCTTTCCCGTGAATATGGAGAATAGAAATCTTAAATTCATAAAAGATTCGCAAGAGTATGTCTCTCTAGAAAATTTTTGTTTCATCTCCTCAAAGTAGAACATGAATCAAGAAATGTTAACATACTCCCAGTCCCTCTCCCATCCAGAAACAAAAAGAAAGAAAGAAAGAAAGAAAGAAAGAAAGAAAGAAAGAAAGAAAGAAAGGTTAACATCCTTGGGTATCAAGAGCAAATAATAAGGGGAAAGTAAGTACATTTCTCTTCCGTCCAGACTGTCCAGTCTTCTAAGTTGATTATTACCCACCACCTGCTTAGTTGCTGCTTCAGACCTTTGGGTTGGAACCCTGAAAAAGACAAGTTCTTAAATGATCAACTTATTCCAAAAAATTAGATATTATATAACTCTTGAACTCTTAAGAAATTAAAATAAATTCTGTGTAGTCACACATCCTATTTTATAGATTATTTGATATATCACAGTGAAGGGGTGGAAACATGGGAAGGTAGGGAAAGAAAGTGAGAAAAACCTCACACTGGGATCCAAATATCCATCTGACTAATTAGTATAATATGAAGAAGGTGAGGGATCAACAGAAAACTTATGAGACATCGGATGATTATTCTATGAGAAATGTCCTCTATCTCACTTCCCTGGGATATATTTCTGAGAAAATGACGAATATTAGGATCATCATCCCTTTCCAGATAAAACCCTTCCATCTTCCTCTTGGGTTTGACCAAACTTAGAAGGAAGACATCTTAGGGGCGCCTGGGTGGCTCAGTCGGTTGGGCGTCCGACTTCGGCTCAGGTCATGATCTCGCGGTCCATGAGTTCCAGCCCCGCGTCGGGCTCTGTGCTGACAGCTCAGAGCCTGGAGCCTGCTTCATATTCTGTCTCCCTCTCTCTGCCCCTCCTGCACTCATGCTTTGTCTCTCTCTCTCTCTCTCCCTGTCAAAAATAAATACACTTTAAAACAAAATCTTTTAAAAAATTTTTTAAAAAAGAAGGAAGACATCTTAGCTCCTATCCTATAATCATACAAACACTGTTCTTAGCGAACATCTTCCAGGAAGACATGGTTAGAACTTCTCTCCTTCATAGTAGGAGTGTGACAAGATTACAACAGTTTGGCTATTGATCTCTTACCTTAGGTGTTGACGTTGTTTTATCCTTAAAAACAGTAGAGGGAAGCACTTTTGTGGCATACTATATTAGGGACAAAAATAATAGTAGGTCATTAGAAATGCTATGCATTTCCAATCTTCGGTATATTTATTTCCTAATTTAAATCATTCCTTACCTCCCCATCACTCATTTAAATCTACCCAACTTTCAGGGTCGAGCTCAAATTCTAACCACATAGTCAATGGATCTTTTTCTTACTTTAAATTAATCTGACCCCATTCATTTCCCTTTTGACCACATTCTTCTCGTTCGTATGACTTGCTTTGGTGCAAAAAAATACGCGAGGAATTAAGTGCTCTATATGTATATGACTGGTTTACACACTAAGCATGTAAACTTTTTGAAAAAAAAATTTAGTTCTTTCTCATTTACCCACAACAGAGTACCAAGTATGAAGAAACAATGTGCTCAGTAATTACTCAAGTGAATGAATCCTACTTTTTACTTCGTAGTGCCTGACTTTTATTGCAGGTTTGCCTACATATGGTCTGTTCTTTATTTTTTATTTTTTTATTATTTTTTATTATTTTTTTAACATTTATTTATTTTTGAGACAGAGAGAGACAGAGCATGAACAGGGGAGGGGCAGAGAGAGAGGGAGACACAGAATCCAAAACAGGCTCCAGGCTCTGAGCTGTCAGCCCAGAGCCTGATGCAGGGCTTGAACCCACAGACCGCGAGATCATGACCTGAGCCGAAGTCG